GGAACCAAGTGTTCGAAGGCACGGCTTAACTATTTTCCAGTGGTAACAGCAGGTCTAATAAAAGGTGATTTCTTTCTCTTCAAACCCAGCCTCTCCTTTCACAGCACAGCCAAGATGGCCTTCTGCTAGTGGAAAATCTCCCTCTGCCCCTTCTCCCTGACACAGACGGCTGTGCGGATCACCTCGCTTCAGGCAGGCAGACAGACTGAGATTTGCCTTCTCTTTTGGACACGGTTTTCGGTTAAACCATACTCTCCTCCCATCCTCAAATGAATTAGCCGCTGTGCCGATTCAATTTCTATTAGCCAAAGAGGGAATTTCATTTGCTCATGGAATAAAGAGAAGAACAGATTAAAAGAAAAAATAACCATCAATTCTTACAGTCAGAGAAGAGATTTCACTACAGGAGACAGGCATTTAATTCTGTTTGCCCTAACACTGCACAGAAACCTATTTTTACCAGCACAAAGTGCTTGACTGCCTCGCCAGATAGAATTTTAATGTGAAATTACAATTTACATTTTACTCTTTTCACACCAATAAGGATTTTGTGATAAGATATCATTTCAATGAAAAAACCCACCATATTTTTCTTTTTTCCAAAGTAGTTTGGTGATGTGATCAGCTCTAAAATACCAGCTAGCAACCATGACCGATATCCCTGACTACCGAACACGAAAGAAGTCAGTCCCAATCTAAACAAACGTGAGGTTATTTTTAGGAGTAGGAAAGCAGATGGGAGTTTCAGTTGCTTGTGAGCACACATGCCCACCATTCAGCCTTTATGAATGGCTCCTTACAGATGGAGAAAGAATTCAAGAGTCTGCTTCCACTCTTCTCTTTTTAGCAGCATCACGTCATTCATTGCAGGGCAACTACCCCACTAATATCCCAGACAACCTAAAGGTCCTCCAGGAAAAAAGCTTCTGTCATTGAGCTCTGTGGTTGAACACACAAACACAAATTTTATTTGTTTGGGTCAGAGGATATGACCTTTTCACTCTTAATCCTTATTTCTCCTAATACCTCTCCACTCCCCACAAAGAAATTTAGCTAAATTCCGGCCAAGGTATTGGGCTCACAGTAAACACAAAAGTCAAACCATGAAAATATATTTTTGTAGATAAACCTGCCTTTCCTAAACTGTACTCAAACGTGTAAATATTTTGTAATGCTGAGAAGCTATGGTGCTTAAAGCACAGATCAGATCCCTCAGCGAAGGAAACTCCATTAGATACTGCACCTTCTTCTTCAGACTTTTTTCTTTAAGTGACTATTTATTTAGAAATAAGCTATTTTAGATATCTGTTATAAAAACCAGGGGGGAGAGGGGAAGAAAAAGTTACTCTTACAAGGTCTTTTATAAACTTGACATATTCTGGAACGCTGAAATAATTCCCTAACATTTTGCCAAAGTTCGATATTGTGCATGTAGAGAAATACTAGTAACCATTATTCATAAACTCAAGCTCATTTTTGCACCCACTTTGCCTTAGTTTTGATCAGAATTAAAGCTTCATATTTTATATGTACTCTTTCCCCTAACAGTTTTATGCCCATAAAGAACTGTCTTGTTCTGGGGAAGATAATTCCTAGATATTTTCATCTATGACCTATCAATAGTAAATCAAAAATATTTATCCAAGGGATGAAACACTAAAATAAGAGTTAATCTGGCACTGAAAAATAATGTTGTTATTTCAATAATCCTGCCTGAAAATCTCTTCTTCAGGATGGAAGGGATTGGAAATATTTTAGGAGTATTCCGCATGTCAGAGTTCCTGTGATATAAATTAGTGGTTTGAAGTTAGCACTTTTAAGAAAGACATCAATTTATCGCTGTTATTGCACATGTGAAACCAAAATAAAAAAGTCTCCCTGCCTATCTACAGACATATTTACGTTGGAATTAGGGCTGCTGGGCTCCCACTGTTCCTTGAGTAAGAGCAACTAAAAATATTGCAAATCTTATTTTCTTTTTCATTAGCACTGAAGACAAGAAAGACAAGAAAAATGTATTTCCAAGATACAGCAACAAAACAGCCAAGTACTCCTCAGACATAACCAGCTGTCCTCACGCACCTACTATACACACTAACCCACCAAGTCAACCTGCAGCGTTAACTGGAATCATCAGCTGCCTCCACCATTACCGAGGAGAGCCCGGTGCAGCTCAAGAGAGAGAAACGAGGCAAATAGCATTGCCAATTTCCTGGATCTCCATTGGTTTAGTTTTCAAAACTGATAAACAGCAGGCTTGAGGACTAAGACGGCATTTGATGACTTACTGTTCTCTCTTCTACGTGGAAAAGAAGGGGCCTCTAGATAAAAGTCATGCCTAGAAACAATTAAACCTTAGTGGATGCTTCATTCAACTATGAATAACTAGAGCAATCAATGTACTGTGGTTAATAGCTACCAGAAATAAAGATCATGGTTCATGACGAAGTCCTTGTCATAGGGCCACCACAGAGAGCACAATAAACTGTGACCAAGCCACCAGCGAGCCTCACAAGACAGTGAGGCTCCTTTCCATCTGCACCAGATGAATTCTTATTGCAGCTTTTACACACAGCCTTCAAGTAGCCATAGATAACCATAACTCTGTCAAAAACAATTTGATTGCATTACAGGATAGTGTTGTCTATAGATGACACTACTTTATTAGATGAAGCACAGGAATCAACAATTGTCTTAACACCTGAGAGTCTCACGTTGGAATAAGTGAATAAACGTAGGCACGATGATTATTTCCATTTCATGCCCACGGCACAATTACCTTTCAGCTACTCAAGACTTCGGTCCTGACCCTTTTGTCATCCTGAATTCAAGCAATGCAAAGCAATCAGTGTAGATGTGGTGCCTGTATCAGTTAGTTAGTCACTCTTACAAAATATAAAGTTATTAAACTCGGGACTTGGTAACTCACTAGAGCTAAGGGACAACTGCTCACATGAACAAAACAGAATCACCTTCTTCTGACAGCGGGTGCAGAGATGACGAGTCCTGGTCCTACTGTTGATTGAGCACAAATGCTTTCTGGTACATTTAGCTTTTGTGTTCCAGAGAGAAAATGAGATGCCTGTCAACCTCTGAACACCAATGGCAAAATCCTGGTCCCTCAAAGCTTTAAGGTAGACAACCTAGTACACAATAGTGGCCCTTTGCATGCAAAAGGCTAAAATTCATAGCAGTTTTCTTTCACCGGTGTACACAGAACAGCTGTATGACTATAACTTTACAAATGATACCCTTGGGTTTCTATACAGCAGCTATAGTCACAAATATGGGAAGACTGACACGGAAAAACATTGAATTTCTCTGTCCAAATATAGAACACTTGCTGCACAGCTGCCTCTAGCCCACAGTTTGCATTTCACCCTCCAATATTAAAAGAAAACCCAAGACCTCTGATATGCACTGCATTTCCAGCTCTTCCTTTTGTCTGGCAAGCCTAAGCAACACTGGGGCTCGATAGCAGGTCATTGTCTGCAACTGATAGGTTGCCAGAAAACATGCACAGCAACAAGCAAAAGAAAAGAGAGGGGACCTTGCTCCGTGCCTGCTCCATGCCTCGCGGCACACAGGAACTGTGATATGAAGGCTGAGAGAGAATTCCCCAGTGAAGGTGCTGTTATAGAGATCTCTGCTCATGCAAGTCATGCAAGAATCTGGTGATAAGGCACAAGTAAGGTTGCAATACACATTGCTGTGGCCATACAAGCACAGGCTTGTACACCGCACAGAGGAGGCTACTCTCTATATACACCCTACAAATACGAAGAACATCGGCTTTTGTTCCAAATGGGCGGCAGGCTCAGCAGAGGACCCCTCCATCCCCGTGGGCAGAGTCACGAGAGATCAGCTCTAAGAAAAGGCTCTAAACAAGGAAAGGTCAAACTTGCTGCCACAAGCAACAAAGGAGCAGTGATATTTTAAGTGTCCTAAATATACATGCTTGCAGGTGGGAGCTAAAAAGTCTTAAGATCCCACCTGAGACTCTGACCCAGGGCTGCCCTGGCGTAATTACAGGTCAAGGCTTCCTAGCTGTTGTGACCCTGATGTAGGTCAGCTGCAGTATTTCTCCTGTGGTGGCAGTAACTGACAGCGCTGGTAAATGTGGTGTGAAAGCAGCATGCGCTGTGCAGAGCTCCTTTTCAATAATTAAGTACTTTGACTCTTCAACAAAGAAAGAAAGAACCAAACAACATAAAACACTAAACAGCACACAGTGTTCTTACTAAAGCATGAATATCTATACAATTTTCTAATTAGAGCTTTTTTTAAAGCAATTAAAGCCTATTTATATGTGACACCATAATTTTGGATCACCCTGTATATCAAGCAGTTCAGTTAATGCCCATCTTCATGACACTTATTTTACAAGTCACAAACTTCTATAAATCCATACTATACATCTCCCAAATCCAATTTTTGGCTAAAAATTTTTGGCTTCTTATGCAATGCAATTTCTAATCATTCAGGTCCAACAACAAAAAAAGCCCAGTTACATTGCATACAAGGTTAATCTTGATGATGGTAACTTTATCAATGCTGCTATTGTTTCACCAGAGGCAAAAAGGCACTGCAGGTATGCAGCTGACAAAAGCTATTTACTCTCTCAGTTTGCAAGTCAGATAATGTGCCAGCTGCAGAAGGCACGTACACTGTCATGCACTGGGAACTATCCCTTACTACTGGCACATACACTAGGAATATTTTGGTAACAATTAAAAATAATTTGAGCACACATAAACTCCACTCAAAGACAACATTTAAGCACCAGCTTGTTGAACAAGGACGGGATTATCAAGATTAGCATGTTTTTAAGATACGTCTCGTTGCATATATTTGAGTTTACTGCACCTTACTGCAGGTTTTCACAGATTTGTAAATATCCAAGGAACTGAAATAGTAACCATCAGGGGAGTTCATAATACTAGCATATACACATATATAAATCAGCAGATAAGAGACTTCTGAACTGTCTGAGCACTCACCAGTTCCAAACACTGTCGGTGCCCATATGCAGCAGCATAATGCACAGTGTTGTACCCCTCTTTGTCTTGGATGGATGGATTGGCATCGTTTTGTAGAAGGAACTCTAGACACCTGTGGACAATTCACTCGTTTAAATGAGAACTCACAATATTTAACAGACTTATTCCTCACTGCAACTAGGAGTGGCATTGAAAACTGGCAGTTAATTCTGTATTTCTAGCAGCACCTCAAATCACTTACAAGTTTCCCTCTTTTCACCAATAGCTCCCCACATTCACCATTTTTTAAAACAGAAAATCCCCACTCATCTTTGAAGATCTTCATAAAAAACAGTCTTCAACCCAACTTTATGGCTACTCTAGATTACAAAATGATTTTCTATTACAAAGCCTGAAAGAAAACTACACAACTCTGTACCATGATGTAAACAGCCTAGATTTGCTACCACTGTACATAAAAACTCATAGATCAAACCACTGGCCTCCAAACACGCACTATGGCAAGCTGTAAAATAAAGACTTAACTGAGTTAATTTCCTGGCATGTACGTACATAAATATATTTTCTTCTTTGTTGGCCTTTTTTTTTTAAAATCATGTGTTTTTCAAAGGATCCCTTATGCTCTTTATAGCTCCTGCCACTTTTTCTTATACCATCAAGGAATCATCATTTTGTTATTAGTACTTCCTTCCATAGCTTGTAATTTGTAGTGAATGTAAGGCTGTCATATGAAAAAGGGGATTTTTAAAACAAAAAAAATCATTAAGCAGCTAGATGAAAATGTCAATCCAAGTAAATACATTGAGGAAGCCATTGGCTACTTCTTTTTGCAACATACATACTCAGTGCAAAGCATTAAAATAAGTCAGTGCATGATACTAAAGAATTATTAAATTACTGAAGCAGTACAGTACATTTTCAATTAAGAAACAGCAACAAGCACAGAAACAGAAATATTAGGGTATATGTGCACAGAGAAGAGCATAGAGCTTTTTTTCTTTAGGTGAGCCCCCATTAAAGCTAAGCATTGTGTTTAGCAGAGCAGTGAATGAGCAAAAGCAGAGTGTAAACTGCAGCCCAAAGCAGTGGCATTCTCCAGAAATGGCGTCTAACTGCTTTATTGACACCAAACTTACAATGCAGCTTCTTTTTCCTTCATCTCACTGGCTCTTTCAAGTTCTTCAGCATTTTCATGGGAGTTACCTAAAATATTCTTTCTTCTTAGCATAGAGGACAGAAAAATGCAACTTATTTTCAAAATATCATACCAGTGATTTTGACACAGTCTGCCACCCATCCCCAATCTCCTCTTCAAGGAGTTGACCTCCTCCAGCCAACACTAAGAATTATACAAGTTAAATGAGTGTACTGCATGGGTCTGCAGCCAATAAGTTTTGCAAGCCATGGAGACAACTACAACATGGTAGTTTATTGTCCTGCAAGTCAATACCAGGGAAAAAAAAAAAACAACAGAAAATTCTGGTTTCTATCAGAAAGAGTTTGATCATCTCTTTCTAGAATCCCTCCATTTTTCCCACAGCAGTGTTGTGCATTTTGTTTCCTTTGCAGAGGGGAACTCAGGATTACCACAGCTTGCTTCTTCCTACAGTAACCTGCTAGTTCTTCTCTAGCATTTAGGGTTTAGAGAAACTTTAATCACTGATACTAAATCCGTCTATCTTGAATCTGCATTAGCTGAGTTGCTGACTCTCCTCGCTTTCTGTGAAATATCTTGGCAACACTGTGTGGATCTTTCAGTCGGATTCTTTAGATTCTTCAAAAAGCTCAACATGTCTTCATATTCCTGCCGACTCGGATCATTTTTGGCACCTCTGCTTCTCAGCTGGATGGATGGCAGACAGAAGACTATGATTTGTGACCTTACAATCATGAGCTCGTGATTATGATCTTTCTTGGCCACCAAGGCTAACACAGAATACATCTACAAACTGCTATCATCATGGATTAGTAGCTTGAAAGGTTTGTCGAAGGACAGCTTGCTAATTTCAATCCCAATGTAACACGCAAATTTCAGACTGGATTCTGCACAATGCAGAACAATACATCCTTTCTTTAACATGCAATTTCCCATTTGTAGTATCAAGATTTGTCATTCTTCCTGTGGGTGCTAGCAATAATGGATTGTTCTACAAACCCAGGGTCTGTCTGATGTCCCTGACTCAGAGAAAACTTCATTATTAATAAAATAACTCCCCTGAATATTAACATTGTGAGCTTATAGACAGTACTCATGTACTATGCTGAAGTCCTACCTGCGTCTGCTTTCAGTTAACTACAAATCAGTGAGATCCCAAAATAAGATTCCCTGAACAGAGTAAGTGATGATCTGGAGAAACAGTACATACTCGGAAACTGCAATCATCTATTTAATGAAAATGCTGCTGTGATTTCCATTGCAGGAAAGGGTACTTTCTGAAGACCATAAGCAACAACAATTACCAAAATAGCTGAAACAGTGGGGCAACCTCGCTGCACCAAGACTTCTCCCTGCTCATTAACTGCCCACATCCGAAGTTAAATAATTATGAATATTCTTTGGACTGAGATTGCCTGACCTTGGGAGTTTTTTGCCATTCAGCAGGAAAACAAATATGCTGACCTATAAAATCACGGACTGCAAAGAGCATTTCATCTATGTAACAAGGCTTCTTCCAGAACATCTCAAACGGGAAAACTTAATGAGAAGACAGCATCACCACATCAGAATCAATTTAGGTTTGGACTACGAGGGCAAATAAAGGCCACATATTCCTGCTAATGTTCAGGATGTGACTAAAGTAAGCTTTCTTTTTTTTTTTTTTTTTTAATTAGTGATGGAAGTAGATACATCCTTAAGTTGTTTAAATGCAGGAACTTCACCTACAAAGAGCCAAAAGCTGAAAAACACACAGAATCAAAAGTCTCAACACCCTGAGTAACAACTCACCCTGGCAAGACAGAATTAGAAACAGCCAGTGGTGAAAACCTTCCTACAAGCCTACTCTGATTGTAATGCCAAGCACAGACCTTTGAAGATCCTGCTGCCTTCTTCCCAGCACTGTTCAGGTTTGAGAGTGATAGGGAAGACATTTTTTATATCAGTATTATCACAGCAAATGATGAAGAAGCTACCAAGGCTCTGGTATGGCATCCAAACCTCTACCATAAAGTTAAGCTGAAGTTTTCCTGCAGTGGCTTTGAGGTGGTATTCTGCTGGGAATGAGCCAGATGTATTTTTACCAGACCTCACTATATGAGAAACCAAGAAAATAGCTCCTTAGTGTCTAAAGGAATGAGACAGAGAAGCATGGGATGACCTAAAATAAATACAGGTCGCTAACAGTTTTAAGAGAGAACTAACAGTATAATTGAGCCTGTTTTATACAGTATGTTATAAGGAAGAGATTGCCAAAATATGCAACTATCTGGGAATTAGAAATTGCAGTCACTAACCACAGGATTTCTAAGTGTTGCAGCTGTTTTCTCCCTTTCTCACAAGAACAGCACTGCATTCTGCCAAAGGATATTCCCCAGGCCTCTCTCTTTTTAAAGTCTTGAAAAAGCAACCTGTTTGGACAGGGTGAGCATTTTTATCAGCTCTGACAATGGAGGGAGCCTGATGGGTAGATCTATCCCATCTTTTCCAGAAAGTCTGTCAGAATGGCCAGATATTTGTCTGTCACAGCAGTCCATCTGGGAAAACCTTTCCTGCTGTCTCCCGCTCCATCCCTTCTGATGGACTTGCAAAGCAGATGTAGAAAATTCTCTGAGCTTACTCTTGTGAGGAAACCACACAGAGGAAAACATAGGACAAAATGTTGTGAAAATAGTTCAGTAGGACAGGGTGGCTGCAAAACTGTGCGATACATCAAAGGTAAACCGTAGAGCTGAAATGCCACATCATCTGGGGATGGCTTATAGTCAGAGCAACTCAGTGTAGAGTTATGCATACATCCGAGAGAAATTCCTTTGCTAGCGGGATCATTTTTTTGGCTCAAATGACATAGCATCATGAAGAGAATAGAATGACACTGATTTAGCAAAACACTTTAAACAAGGAATACAAAGAGGCTTTCTTACTTTCGGTCCATGTCAGAAGCAGCAGCATAGTGCAAAGGGGTGCGTCCCCAGTCATCTGTTTCATTAATATTGGCTCCTGTTGTCACCAGTGTCTCAATACAGTGGAAATGACAATTTGCAGCTGCATAGTGCAACGGTGTCCTGGAACATAAGCGACAATTTGTTAGCTCATATTCCAATATGCACCACCGAGGATAACGACAAATCTTAATTGCTGCATTCGTACAGATTTCCAGCAGTTAATATCAGTGCCTTAAGTTCCTGTGGTGAAATGCAAAGTTATGCAAATTTAACAAAATATTGTGTTAATAGGAAGTTTTGGTGCTCCTACGAAGCCTAATAGGATACAGATCCTCAATCTGTGTCTTGCAAATGACCTATTCCCAGTGACAGCCTCTGCTGTTGCTCTGCATACATGCTACTTTCTTCCAGCTGGGAGGCAGAGCAAAGCACGGTGTCCCTCACAGCATCTTATTTAGCTGGCATAGCAACACTCATAGCAACACTTCACATGGGGAGAAAAAACCTCTAGGAAACACGTCAAATAGCAGCAATCCTCCCATCATAACCCAGGTGTTGTCTTGGGCAGACAAGCACAAGAATTTGGGCAATAAGAGAAGCAATAAGGAAAAAAAAATAAACGTGTGATATTTTTAAAACAGAAAACTCAAGAGGGTGGGATGGCTTTTATGTATTTCATGAAGTCTGCACCTGTCTGTCTGGCATACAACTACAGCAGCAAGAGTTCTGCAGGGAAGGCCAAACTCCTACTTTATTTTACTGTCATTTTTCATAGAACCTATGATTTCCAGACTGAGGTGGTCTTTCTTCCTTGCCTGCTAGATTCTTTATTTTTTCTTTTTTAAACGAGCTTCATAATTTACCTACCTCCCACATTTGTCCTTCTTATTAAAATCTGCTCCACTGCTTTGCAAGAGTTTTATACATTCAACATTACTGGAAAGAGAAGAAAACAAAACATGAACAAAACAGAAGTTTACATCTGTGTTGCCCCCTGCCCCCAAAAAGGAAAAAGTTACTTTAAGTGGTTTTGTATTATTTGCCGTGCAAAAACAGGGTACAGGCAACTACAACGTGAAATTCAATCAACCAGAAAATGAAGCTTTAAAAAACTATTGCCTTTTTTTCTAGAAAACCTCCAACTTCTCTTCTGCAGAAGAAAAAAAAAAAAAATTCCAAAGAGAGCACAGTAAATGTGATCTGAATTCAGTGTGTTTGGAGATTTTCAGTGGGAGCTGTACTCTAATGCTTCCCACACTGAACTGGTATTTTATAAGAGAACTTTAAAAGAAAGTTGTTACGAGCTTATAAAATGCCAGTCTAATAATGAAGAGGTGACATTTAATGAAATCCACCCCCGTTCAGCAAAGCATTCAACAGTAAGCACTTTGCTCAAATCCTATTTACTTAGTGAGATTTAATCACAGGCGTTACTTTTAGGTTTACTCTCATATGATTTGTTGACTATTGATAGATTTAAGCACATCTCTAAGTGCTCTATTGTTGAGTAAGGGGCATAGCTATTTAAAATGATTGTCATATCAATACTGCATTTATATAAGTGGATGAATTGGGGTCTATTGCTTTGTATCTGTTGAAAGAATTCACCACATCATAGCTGCTTCTTCCTCTTGTTTAAAGCCAGGTGATTTTTAACAGAAAATAAAACAGATGAATTCTCACATCTTTTGTAATTCAAGCAAATAAACGTATGACTCCAAGCCAGAAAATGACATAAAGAAGCGCAGTACTTTCCAAGACTCCCTGTCATTCACAGGGGCAATAAATCATTTGTGTTCACAATCAGATGAGCAGGCCTTTGAAGTAAGTTCTTTTCCTAGTACCCATGCAACTCCCATTAATGTAATGGGAGTAACAGGCACGCGTCAGGAAAAAACCGAATGCCTTTTGTATAGCTCCAGCTCCAGGAAAAAAAAAGACTGGATGCAATATGTTGGCTTATGTTCATCCCTACTCTAAATCGCTATTGCATAAAATAGCTACAGAACACTCACCACAACGTACTAAAAATAAAAACACTTGTTAGTGATGACAATTGTAGTAAACCACTGGAAAAATATAGTTTATTTTCATGAGCCACTTTTCCTTCTTATGAAGCCTCTCCTTCTCTTTAGGGTTTCCAGGTTGTTTTTATTATTCTTTTGGGGTACAGCCTTATTGAAGAGGTAGCATTTTACTATATTATAATAATCTCCATCCAAGCAACAGTCATACCTCCTCTATTAATATGAGACAAGTATCAAGAAGAATAATATCATAAGAATAATAAAAACACTATTTGGATCAATTTTATTAGTTTTTTGTAATAAGGAAAACTTTGTGATACACATTTTGGTCCACCGAGAAGAAAAAAAACCTTCCAGAAAGACTGCCAAGTATTTGCTATGGATGTCCATTTCTGCTTGCTATAACCACAGACAATCCAAGCTGGGTTCTAGCCAGGGCTCCATTTCAGCTGTTTTTGGAGCCATAAAGTCCTCAACAGAAGAGTCAAAATTCAACGCTTGCCAAACGTTTTGTCCTTTTGCTAGGTTAACTTCACAGCACTCCACTGACAATTATTTGGAAATATTGAAGCTAACTGGATGCTACATTTACAACTTAAATTGACATATTTCAGTTTTCATTTGTTTCCATTTCTGGCCTCCCAGCACTTATCAGGAATGCATCGCCCTGAGAGAACAACAGTCTTTTGACTTTCTAATTTGGAGGTTGGGGGTTGTTTGTTTGTTTTGGTTTTGTTGTTGTTTTGGTTTGTTGTTTTTGCTTTTAGAAACTTTTAAACTTGCACCTGAAAAACGGGAAAGAAGGAGATGAGCTGCATTTAGACTCCAGGGTTGCAATCTGATGGGCACTGTTGCGTAGCTGCATTTTTGGAGAAGGACACAGTCCAAAGGCGGAGGCCAGGAATAACTCCCCTGCCAGCAGCATCCCGGGAGCCACAGCTCCTTCTTTCCACTCACTTTTCCCTAGGAACTGATGATTTCCTGCTGACTGCTGGCCCTCAGTGACCGTGGTGGCCAACAGACAGACCTGGGTGAGTATGCACCACCCCCACCCAAAGCTGAAGGAGTCTTCACAGGGGCATGAAAAGGCAGGGCTTTACCCTATGCCTGAAACCCATGGTGCAAATCACAACCTGGCTGTCTGTAGCAGAGGGAATCAGACCGCCTCCTTTACTTTGCAAGCAACCCCTATAGAATCATAGAATAGAATCATAGAATCATTGAGGTTGGAAAAGACCTCTAAGATCACCGAGTCCAACCTCCTACGTGAGGGCAGTGGGAAAAGACAGCCTCAAGTGACCAAAATTTGACATCAGACCACTTTGCATCCCTTGCACCGCAATAAATTCCTCTGTGGATGGCACAGCCAAGTTGGCTGGCACCAAATCTGCAATGAAGCCACAAAATAACTTACAACAGCTACAGTCGCAGCTACTCACCCTCCTGCAGCGGCAGCGTGGAGGCACGTTCTTCCAAAACTATCAGGGGTGTCTATTTCAAAGCCTGCAGACAGCACGTGCTCATTACTAAACAAGGACACTATGCTATACTTTTGTCCTAGTTAAACCACAAGAAACATTGCAGAGACAGAAAAATCAGTTAGTTGGAAAAAAACAGAACGCAAGCAACTACAGTCAGAAAGAGGTTGTCACAGGAACGGCGAGCGGCTGCCCCAGTTTGGCAGCTCTATAAAAAGAGCTGTAAAGTCGACGAGCATCTATTTCCGCATCCAGCTCTGCGCCACATCCCTGTGTAAAATCATGTGACAGGCATTTATGAGGCAGATACTTATCAAGAGGACTGCGACAGCAGGACATGAAGACAGAAAACATGAAGAAATGAGGAAAAACCACAGAGCCAGCCTGAACATGAAATGGGGCCATTTTTATTGCGTGTGGTTTTCAGGTTGGAAAGAGGCTTCCAAGAGCACGCAGGGATATTCATCGAGATGCACAAGGCCAAAGATAAAAGCCTGGCAGTATTAGCTCTGGTCACCCAGAGCTTTTTCTCTTCCTTCCTGATCTGGTGGTCAAGGCCAGAGCACACCAAGGTTTAATGTAATGGGGTATGTAATTGCTATTTTTCACACTTTTTTAATATCCTACAGGACTCAAGTTTAGGGGAAAAAGTAGTTGTAGGAGATTTTACGTGTTAAGTAATGAAGCCATTTTCTAGAAAAAGCATATGATCTGCCTTGTGATTTTTTAACTCATGGGAACTCTTGCCTGGAAAAAAAGAATTTGGGATTTGGCACCTGATTACTGCCTCTTTTGAAACGGTTGCATCAGCAAACTCCTGCTTCTTCTGCTTTGGGATCCTGAGACTGCTCTCTCAACGCTACACTTTCACTCATTTCCCCTCTCGTGCCCACAGAGCTTTGGCCAGCCTAACTCCTTTACTCTGGCCAGATTCAGAAACACACTTTAGCTGTATCTAAAATACATCATCATCAGTGAGATGTAAATACCTGCGCCAGTGCAGGCCCCAAGGAGATAATTTCCTGAATTATTCCTTTGGGGGGGGAAAAAGTCCAAAACAAAACAGTATCTCGCATTCCTACAGTTTGGAAAAGGGTCCTAAATTTCCTCCCTCCTCCCGGTGAATTAATATAAACTCTCTGAACCTGCCAGGAGAAAAGAGCTTCAGGCATGAGCAATACAGGATGCGAGGAAGTACCAGCATGCCGTTTAGGAAAGCCTCGCACGCTCCCGTACACCACACCACACAGCCGAACACAGCAGCGCAGGAAGTCTTTCGTTTGAACAATTCACAACAATGAGTACAAAGGGGCCGTAAGCAGCAGAGACACACACTACTTGAGCTCCACAGACACTGCGGGATTTACTTACCCGATGACAACAATTTCCTGCAGCAGTCTGAGTGAGCGTTCAGCGCTGCTAAGTGTAAAGGGAACATGTTGTGGATCCCACACCTAAAAGGCACAACAGCCTCATTACACAGAGTCACGTGAAAATGCAGGTTGCATACAGACACAACACATCAAAAGCTCCTTCCACAAAGGCAGCTTTTTTTTACCCTTTTTGAGGAAGATTCTTCCTGCCATGTTATTTTTATCTGTATTTCCTTACCAGCCTTCTCAGGAGTTAAAAATATTCTGATACAGCAAAATCTTGGCATTACGCTTTGAACAGAATGTGGCAGGAAGGTTTCTAAAAATTCAAGGCAAAAGCCAAGGTAAGGGAGGAAGCGAGAGAGCAGATATTGCTTGGAGTCAATTTCCTGGTGTGGGATGCACAAATTTCTGCATCAGCTACACATGCTGCAACTGCCATTCTGAGGTGAAAGTAAATGCCAAAATCTTCTCAATATTCTTTCTGAAACCCATTTTTCCTGCAGTTAACATCCTTTAGATAACTCTCATGTGGGTTTTTAAAGCCTCCCCTTCTTCCCTCTCTCTCCCCCCTGGGCCTGGGGCAGCTGACGACTCTTCTTCACACTTTCCTTTAGGCTGCTGTGACACTTACAGTTTTCTTCCCACGTCCTAAGAACTAAACAGCTAATTTTCCTATTTGCTCCAGCTACTCTCCTCATACTCCCTTTCACTTTTTCCCCCCTTTAACACATGACTCTCTTTTCAATTACGCTATAAAGTTCTCAGAGCAGACATGCTGGGTAAAAAAAAAAAAGGTAGGCACCTATCATTAGGCTAAATCTGTATCAGGCAACCACATAGTTATTAAACAAGCTGAGCACTCAGCAGCTTTTATTAATATCAGCAAATCATCCCAGTTCAGTCCCTAAGCACGCCGCTGTTTACTGTCTCAGAAGAATTTTAGGTTTGGACATCTTGGCTTCTGTCATTTAGCATAGTTTTGTGAAAAGCATCTTGTTCTTCTAGAAATACTATCCTACCGGCAGTCCTCCAAGTGCACATAAATATGGAGCCTCTGAAACCAGCTATCTCGACAAGATTATCATCTACAGCCTGCTTCAGCAGATATATTTTTGAAAAATGACACACTCTTGAACAGTGTGATGGATTCATATCTGCCCTTCATTTCTGCAAGACAATTGGTGGATGGGAGAGTATGATCACCTCATGGAAGAGGATTTCGGATACGGACCCAAAGACGAAGGAACTTGTCTTTCTGCAAGACTCACCATAAATCATAATTACTTATGAAGCTTTGGACAAAAATGAATGTGGATGTTTATAAAGATATCTTGCTCTCTCCAACATTTTATACATACATGTATTTAACTAATTTTGGTTTGTTTTTAAAAAACTTATTCTTTCCAGAATCCACAGGCCCATCCTTCCTCTGTCTTCACATTAAATGTGTCCTCCTTGCTGCTTCACTACACTAAGGAGTGACTTGTAGTGCTGTACAAATTTTAATTTTGCTACTGTCAGCATCTACTTCTTCGAGGAAATCTACTAAAAGACGATCTGACAGCCTATTCTTTGAAGGAAACAGCACAAGCTCCACGAAGCTGCTGCATCTGTATAAACAGGTTGCATTTTTTAGCCGTGGATTCATTTATTTAAGCTAACATTGGACATTCTGTATTGCTGTGCTTCTTCCTACACCCATTTCCCTCTATCTCCTCTTCCACCTAGTTATCTAAAGCAATATTTTTCTTTTTTAGGTCAGGATTTCCACCCAGCACATGTTTTGGCTGGTTTCCATTGAAATACACTATCTGCACATCTGCTAACCAGTGTCACACTTCTATAGAGCTGTTCACACTGGTTCCTCCCATCACTTACACACTTTCCCCTTTAAATGCAGTTGCCTCAAAGACTGACCGAGCTGTCTGCAGTTGTTGCTAACAATGCTGCAGAATTTTCTTTTCAAAGCCAGTTCAGGGAGCTCAGCCAGAGTTATTTACATGCAGCACATACGAAAGCCCATTCCCAGCATTTCAATGCTCCTTGTTTAGCACAGACAGTAGCATCGTTTGGATCTGCCTGGTCCAACTTCTTATTTCACTTATTTCTGCTGCTGGAAAAAGTATTTTATTCGATCAGTGTTCCAGTCACCCAAGTATGAAATAGAAATTTCTAACTGGATAACCCTGATTCTAAGAGTGGGCTATCCCACTGCATCTTATTTTCCCTTTAAACCTGAAGATAAGAGACAGACTGAGACTTACTGTACTGGAGAAAGAGCTAGGAAAAATACACATCTTTTTAGACACCAAGATCTTTATGCTGATTATGTTAATAAAATCCAGTGACATTAGCTGAAGCCTGTGGAATTTCATTATCCATGCCAACTGAAGATCTGTTCCACCTTCCGAGTTTGCATGGTGACAGTCGTACTTGATAAAGGAATATGGGCAAATGTGCTACTTTCTTAAACATTGTCAAGCAAACAAACAAAACACTGAGAGCTGCAAGTATCTTCAAAACTAAAACCAGCTCATTTGCATCCGAAAGCAGGTTTTCCTAACTAGGTGAGTCAAGAGAAGTCACTGATTTCTATGGTAGGTTCTAGATAGAAGACTCTTAAATTATATTTTGGAGACATGTGGAGGTTATTGCCGAAAACTTACATTCATGAAATCAGATGCTGCTATTAAACACCTGGTACAGATATCCCTCATGGCATTGCATTACTCTGGTCTTATACCCCTTTGTTTACCTTCAGGTTTGCTATTTTCTTTTGACAGACCGTAAGAACCTGAACATAACTCACTGATACTCAAGTACTCTTAAAAATCAAGCACCTGCCAATGTTTGAGTTGACAATAGTTATCATATTGTGGGTGCAGTCTTGACACGTGCAAGAGGAAGAAAAAAAAAAATTGAATTGAAGCAGAAAGCACTAACAACATTTAGAAATGTATCTTATTTCAACTCCTTGTCCTTCTATTCAAAAAAGACTCCCAAATTCAAAAATCAGATAAAAGCAGTCCTATTATTTCAGCCACCTGAATATCAGAAACCATGCAACATCAAGACAGGCTCTAGTTATATTGAGATCAGAAATACTTAGTAACATCTGCTTTGCAATACTGCATTTCTATTGATTGTCCTATGTCATACCAAAAGATACAAGACAAAAGAATAATCACCATGTATGACAGATCACTAAACATTTGGCTAATTTAGATACTAAGGAATATGCACACAATTCCCTTGGAAGGCATCTGAATTTTTTTCAATTACGTTTCCTATACAAACTCATTGCTACAGACTTCCTGGAATAACTGTGATCAAGATGCACTTTATATACACATACGTACTTCATGTACCCCACATACCACTGTGCCACATCAATGCTTTAGGAAAAAGAAGCAGCACTTGTACTACCTGTAACCGTGTAACTGGGCACAATAGGGACTTAGCAGGGCTTCCTTCCCCCCGACACTTCCCAAGTGTTCATATTTTAGCCCCATGTCACCCACTGAAGTACAGTGGGTACTGAAGTACAGTACAATTACGCTTATCCATTTTAACCTTCACACTTCAGAACCCGAGGAGTAACTGTGTTTCCAGGCATTGGACATAACGCTTGATCAGTGGAAACAGCTCCACTTCAGCCACCTACTTGGCAGCATCAGCTCCGCTGGTTATGAGGGTGTTAATCAAAAGCTCATGTCCGTATCTTGCAGCCACGTGCAGAGGGGTGTTACCATCCTTATCAACACAGTCGATTTCCCCTCCTGCAAAGGACATTTTCATACAGTTTAACACTGAAAGATTAAGCATGAACCAGTGACACAAACATTATTTCTCTCTAGTGAATGCAGCATAACCAGTCCAGCCACAGAGACAATTTCAGAGACCAAGAACCAGCACACAGCAAGCTGTCAGCTATCAGCCACTGGTACTGAACATGGTCTGGCAGCAGCATTTTCACCTCCCTCTCCAACTGCAGTGGTGAGGAAAAATGGTGGGAAACAGGTGAACAGGATGACATACAATGGTCAAGTACATGATTCAGACTTGCTGCTCATCTAAAGGTGCAAATGGATGCCTTGAATTAAACTAACAAAATAAACAGCTGAAACCATGCCCTCATTTGTAAAGGCATTGCCACTCAACCTTACCTGTAAGACAACAATGTTAAATAGAGTTCATTCAAGAGGCCAGCAGGAACACACTGCAAACAAGCAGCATGTTGTGTGCCTTCTCTGTGTCTTACCAAAGAACAACCAAACAGCGCTTAAGTAGAACTTCTCCTGTTGCAATTTAAGCCTGTCATCTTGTGTTTTACCCTCACAAGCAGGAAAAATAGATTATTTCTTTCTTCTCTGCTGCAGCTTTTGACCCATGCAAAGATTGCTATCAAGTCCTTGTTTTCTTCTTGGACCAGGGAACTGTAATTTTTTCAGTCTCTCCTTGTAAGTCAGGTTTGCTGCACTCCAACTATTCTTATCCTTCCCCCAGTCCTCTCCAGCTGGCCCACATCCTTTTGGAAGTAAAATGTCAAAAGCCAGAAACACTACCACAGCTGACGTCTCCCAACGCTGAGCTGAGCAAAAGGATTACTTCATGCCTGCTGGCTACGCTCCTATCTATACAGTGCTGTACATTGTACAGCACCATGTATATTGTTGATCATTTTTTTTAAGCATCATGACACTGTTGACTTGTGGTCAACAGGCTTCTGATCCTCTACAAGCCCCAGATCCTTTCCTGAGGAACTGCCACCCACCCGGCTGTTGCCGTTCTGAACTTGTCCAACTAGTACTCCTGCCTGTGTGTGGGATCTTTCCTTTCCTTCACTTCCATTATAACTTCTGTCTCGAATTTTACAGGATCATTTTCCGTTCTGACTCCACCTTCTGCCAAACTAACAGTCTCTCCCAACTTCATGGTTTCTCCAAATGTTAAAAACACATTTTCTATTACACCTTCCAAGTTGTTAATGAAAATACTGGACAGTTGCAGGCCCAGGAGGGAAACTGAAAACCCCCTCACTACACCTTCCATTTCAACAACAATCCATTTATTATTAATCTCTGAGTGCAGTTTTTCAACTAGTTATGCACCAACACTGTAATATTTTAATACTCCACTAGTTTGCTGTCAGAATACTTTATGAAAGCATGTAAAAAGTCCTGCTAACATCAGGATATGGTAATATTTACTGCGTGTCCACTATTCACAGGAGATAACAAGCCATAACTGCAACAAGAAAAGTTCTAGTAGAGCACTATACAGCATTTTCTAACGGTAAATAAAGGGCAGTGAAATGCTGGAACAGGTTCTCTGGGGTGGAGCCTCCACCAGCGGAGGTCTCCATGAACATTACTCGCCCACAGAAAAGTCAGAGGACTGTGCCGTGTTCACAAAGCCTATTACCCTGCTGTAGAAGAGAATTATGATATTTCAGCATCTTTTACTCTTGAGAAATCTATGCCAAATACTGCCCACTCCTCCCTAAGTGTTTACAAACAGTTTGTTCATTCGCTCATTTCAGAATTTTTGGCTGACCTATGTAAAATTCTCCATCTTTTCTTTTTCCCCATTTTTAAAGATAGGTATCACATTTGCAATTTTCCAATTTTAAGGTAATCCATTCTTCATAGAATCATAGAATAGTTTGGGTTGGAAAGGACCTCTAAAGGTCATCTAGTCCAACCCCCCTGCCATGGGCAGGGACATCTTCAACTAGATCAGCTTGCTCAGAGCCCCGTCCAACCTGACCTTGAATGTTTCCAGGGATGGGGCATCCACCACCTCTCTGGGCAACCTGTGCCAGTGCTTCACCACCCTCAGCGTAAAAAATTTCTTCCTTATATCTAGTCTAAATCTAGCCCCCTTTAGTTTAAAGCCATTCCCCCTTGTCCTGTCGCAACAGGCCCTGCTAAAATGTTTGCCACCATGTTTTTTATAAGCCCCCTTTAAGTACTGATAGGCTGCAGTAAGGTCTCCCTGAAGCCTTCTTCCTCTACTCATCGCTAGAGACAGCAGCCAGAAATTGAGACATCTTCAGCCCACTCATTAAGTGCTCCAGAATGAAACTCCATTTCTTTAAATCATTGACATTTCTCTCTTCCACAATATCCCATGGCAATGAGGCATAAAGTCACCTGCAATCAGATCTGTGCACAATACTAAAATTAGAGAGGCAGCAAACGAAGAAAGAAAAAAAAGAAGCGAAACCCAAGTAACTTGAAGAAGAGCAGAGAGGTGTGAAGGACAGATGAAGAACTCCAGTCCTTTCACACACAAATCCAACAGAGAGCAAACAACAGCTGTAAGTCAGAGAGCATATTTGACTAAATAACTAAAAATTGCATTAAAGCACAGTTTCTTCCAGTTTTCCCAAACTCCTTTTATTATTACTATTTTATTTATCCAAGGAGAGATATGACAACAACTTGCATGATGTACCGAAGACCTCCATTTTAAAATACAATCTTGTGTAAATATAAGTGTCATTACATTTACAGCGTAACTGTTCAGCCATCTTCAACATCTCACACTTAATTTCCAAGTTTGGGATTTTGGAAACAAACAAAAAAACCAACCAACCAACAAACCCCAGACCAACCTGTCCGGTACAGTGGTCAAAGCTGGGAAGCGTAAGTAAACAATAATAGCAACCTCTGTCCATTGGAAACAGGCCTCTGCCAGATCTCCAACGATAATATTTGTTATACTCTGTACTATTCTTGGACAAAAGAGATACCTGATAAATGACTGATAATCAGGAATCCTGGCTATGCCAGAACAAACAAGGTGGCACTGGTCCATCCTCCTGAGTATTTATTCAACACTTAATGAAGACAGCGGTGAGGGGTGGAGCTAAGGGAGGTGAGAGAAGTACAGCTGCTGAGTGGAGGGCAGAGGAAATGGTCTGAGCTCTGAGAACACCAGGGCTCCCAAGGGAGGACAACTAGAACCTTTTTCTTTTTTTAGTTTTTAAACAATTTGAGAAAGAAAGTTGTGCCTGCTTCTCAGCAGAAAGAAAGACATAAATACAGTTTTGAACTCTTGTTTTCAGGTTAAGAATTACAACGGATCAGCTGGACCACCGTCAGCTGGAGGAATATGGGATTTTGTTAACAACCAAAATCTCAACTTGCGATGACATGCTGGAATGAGAGCTGTCAGTGCAGCTCAAAGCCAGAAGTTGATGGAGAGCTAAGCAGCTCTCAGAACAGTCCTTTGGCATGCTGGGTCAGAACAACTGAAACTTGCAACCTTGGAAATGCCTAATCTTTTGGAGACTTGTTAAACAGGCACAGAAACTCACCATTCTGAATGAGGGTCTGCGACCGCGTGAACCTCCCATGGACAGCTGTCATGTGCAGCGGGCTCTTCCCATCCTTACTCTAACAGAAACAAAACATAAACCCAATCTTTAGCATGTAAAGTGGTGGTAACAATTTGAAGTCTCTCAGCTCAACATCCTACAGCTACTCTTCAGATAAAACCTCCACTAGCTTCAAAAGTCTGTAGGGCTGAATCTATACATGATGGTAAATGCAGAAGGCATGAGCATACAAGTAAAACAGTTCCTCAGCAATGAGTAGGAAATGGGCTGGAGTGGAGCCTGTCCTCACAGCCTGGATGTACACAATACCTGCTAGAAACCTACAGATATGTGACATATTATTCTTGAATATTATTTTTAAGTAACATTTCCCATTCAGTCATTGTTTTCCCTAATCCTTGCAAAGAGGGGAATAAAGAAAAGCAAAGGAACCGTAAAGCTAAGTAGAAGCAGTCTCCGAGAGATTCAAGAACTACATCCTGTTTATCAATCTGCATTTTATAGATACATCCCAGAATAAAAGCCTCTATATTAAAAAGTTTTGGTTAATAAATATTCATGCAATCAAAAATAGGATGTCTACAAAAGACAATTAGAAAACAGGGAAGGCATATGAAAGGAAAGGTACAATGAGTAGAGATCGATGTTTTGGGTTCTAGAGAAAGAAACTGAGATTGGGGAAGCCGAGGAGCTGCAAAAATAGCAAGGGAAGGGTACCAGCCTCGCTACTCACAGCACTTCATGTTTATTGGCATGGGGTTTTGCAATCATTGGCACACACAGTCCCTAATTTCATTTTAATAATTCTGAGTTTAAATAGTGCACTGACTATTCACTGATCTCAGGGGACTTGACAGAGGTGTTAAATGCTACGAGACCAGTTTTACAGATGGGAAACTGAAACACACAGAGTTTAAAGTAAAGCAGTCAAAATCTTATATGAACTCAGAGATCTTAAGCCTTCTGGTACCTATCCCGGTACCCTGTTGGATAACAGCAAGTCCCTTTCAGCTTCATCAAGACGTATCAGTTGTATCTCAAGAGCATTCAGATATCCTAAACAGAAGCAGACTTTGTAAACTCAGGCTCTAAAATAGGTAAATGTTGTGGTTTAACCCAACAGGCTGCTAAACACCACACAGCCATTCGCTCACCTCCCCCCCCGCCAGTGGGATGGGGGAGAGAATCGGGGAAAAAAAAGGTAAAATTCGTGGGTTGAGATGAAGACAGTTTAATAGGACAGAAAGGGAAGGGAAAATTAATAACAATAATAATAGTAATGATAAAAGAATATACAAAATAAATGATGCACAATGCAAGTGCTCACCACCCGCTGACCGATGCCCAGCCAGTCCCTGAGCAGCGGTCACCGCCACCCGGCCAAC